TGTATCGGTTGGAAAATACCATGTGAAAGCAAGCATCTCCACAGCTCTACAGTCGATTTTCGATAAGTACGGGGACATAGCAGCTAATTGTCATTTGGAATCAGCTTCTATGCGTGCATATTATTTAGAGTGCTTGTGTGCTGTAGTTCAAGAGCTGCATTCCACTCCATTCAAGCAACTGACCAAAGCAAAAATTAAAGAGATGTTTGCTGTTCTCAAGGATGTAGAATCTGCAGGCATCGATGTCGATTGGTTGCGTGCTCTACTCAATGAAATCTCGGAAGCCATCGAGCTCGTCAGTCAACGCCCAACTCTCGAAATCAAAAAGGCCAAGCATGGCCAATCCTTAGAATCGGTAAAGAAAGAACTAGAACTGAAAATGGAAGACCTGGCTCAGAAAGAAAAAGAGGCAGCCGTTGCACGGGAACAAGTGGCGGAAACCAAGGCTCGTTTAGATGAGATCGAGCATCAGTGTTCCGAATTGGACAAGACCATTTTGAGCATATCGTCGATCCCGGATAAATTCCAGGGCAAATCTCTGGCAGATGAGCTCTTGTGATGGTGTTTGATAAGCAAGACTTGATGTGTTTAATACCTTTTGGTTGATAGTTGAATATAGTGTCATGCAAGTAGCTGTGTGTAGAGCAAATTTGGTAATAGGCTTTGTATGTGATCATAGGCTTTTCTTGAATAATTGAACTGCCAAGAAGATCTGAACAGCGCGTTTGTTTATTTGCATAAGTGTATTTATCTACAGTATTAGTCCTTGTACTTTTCCTACATATGGAAGTTAGTCCCTTAGTTTTTGTAATAGTGTCATTCTTTGTTACATGATTATGAATCAATTGATACTTTAAATTTAGGATCAATTTGAAATCTTGATTTTAATTCGAGCATGTCCGCTGTAATTTATATTCTCAAACAATGTTTAAGCCTGAATTTGGATAAATATATACTTTCATACTTGAATTCGGTTTTAAGTTGTAGTTTGATGCTTATTTTTTTTTATTTAATTAAATTTAAGGTTCAATTTGGAGTTTAATTTTTTTGTCTAAATTGGTACTTAAGGTGCAACCGACTTATTTGAACTAAATGAATTAAATGCATTACACGTTCTCAAATAATGAATTTCATTTGAAATTAGTCTCTAAATTTTTTTAACATTCAAATTTTATCCTCAAACTATTACTCTCATTCTAAATTGATCTTTAGACTTTCGAATGTTTTAATTTCATTGTCAAACTCCAGCCATCAATATAAAACTGGTGTCAAAACTTTTAAATATTCTCACTTTGTTAATTATATCCCTTATTCATAAAATAATTATACAATTTTTTAACTGTCATGTAAACACTCATATATATTATGTTGAAATATAATGTCATATAAACTATAACTAACGTTAGATTTAAATAAAATAATAATTTAACTTTAAAGTGTAAAAGGAATGGTAACAAATTAGGAGAACAAAAATACGAATAAAAAAACCTTTCATTTTTATTTTACATAATAATCCCAGAGAACATGAGACACGTTAGTTATTGCATAATACATGTCGGTATTTACATTTCAATTAACTTTTTTTAACGGTTTGTTACCAGACGTAATAGTTTAGAATGAAATTAAAATATTTAAAATTTTAAGAACCAATTAAAGATGAAAAACATGTTTAAAGACGTATGATAAAATTAACTTGGCTCAATTTGGATCATAAAACTACATTTAGATACCAAATTGAACTTAAAATGTATGTTTACCCTTTTCATAACTCAAAAAACATATGGCCACTTACCTTTCGTTTAAAGGCAACACAACACTACGAACCCCCTGCAAAATTGCTGGTTCTGAGGAAAACTAATTCTTTACATTCAAAGTAGTCTGCGTTTTGGCTTTTATCCTTGATGGGGTAGGCCGACGTTGATAGGCTAAACAAGGGTAGAAACCTCTAATATCTTATGGCTCTTACCCCCACACCATGTGAAGCCATAATGCCAAGAACCCCAGGCAGGGTCCTCGAATTCTTTTGGGTTATTTATTTTTTCCTTTTTCTGCTTTCTGTTTTCCCTTTGGATGGACCACTGGCCTACAGTAAAGAGGAAACCATTGATAAGGGAGCCTTTCCAGAAAGGTTGGCTAAAAAAAGAGCACATATGAGGGACAGACTCGGTAATCGCTTTTGAAGCCCACCTTTCTACATTGGGAGTGGGGCATCCTTGATCTTTTGGGTTTGCTCCCTCTTCTTGCTACCGTTAGAGCTAGGTAAAATTATGTTTCTAGTCACTATACTATGTATACATTACGAATTTAATCCCTGTTTTTTCTTAAAATTTTGAACTCACAATTGCCTCATCAAGACAAGACAAAAAGTTGTAACAACGACACATTAAGAAAACCAAGTCAAGAACAATGCCACACAAGAACAACAGCAAAAGAAAGATATGATCATATGAAGGGATGATCATAAGCATCCTCTGCTAACACTCAAAAGAACCAAATGGTGAAAAAGGAAGAAAACAATGGAGACAAAAGCCACGTTGGTTGTCCCTTTTCTCTTTAGTTGGTCGGGTTGCTTCGGAAGGATCCCAAAGCCTTGATTGCAGCAGCTCGAAGAATGTACTGATGGTAAGCAGCCGCTACCACAGCTCCAACAAACGGACCGACCCAGAAAATCCACTGTCCAGTCACCATATATAAGATTAATTCATATAAAAAGACTTGGCAAAAAATGTGTATAAATAATAAAAATAAACTTTACATGGTCATCCCAGGCTTTATCGTTGTTGTAAATAACAGCAGCACCGAAGCTCCTAGCCGGGTTTATGCCGGTGCCGGTGATGGGGATGGTAGCCAAGTGAACCACGAAGACAGCAAAACCTATGGGAAGCGGAGCCAACACCGGCACGTGGGAGTCACGGGCGTTTCTCTTAGGATCAGTGGCCGAGAACACGGTGTAAACAAGCACGAAGGTGCCGATGATCTCGGCTCCCAAAGCGGTTCCCTTGTTGTAACCCGAAGCCACCGAGTTAGCTCCACCGCCTAGCGAGTTGTACTCGTGTTTCATGAAAGCTTTAACTAGCCCAACGCCACATATTGCTCCCAAGCATTGAAATACCATGTACGCAACAGCTCTCATTAAAGACACCTTCCGGGCCAGAAACAACCCGAAAGTCACCGCAGGGTTAATGTGACCGCCTGAGATGCCGGCAGTGCAGTAAACGAGGATGAATATCATGCCGCCGAAGGCCCATGCAATGCCCAGTAGACCGACTCCGTTGCATGCATCGTGTTGTTTCTTGTGGCCGATTACGGTGGCTACTGTGATATAGAGGAAGAGGAAAGTGGCTATGAACTCGGCTATGAGGGCTCTGTACAAAGACCAGAGCCTGAGCTCTTTCGTGTCGATAAGCGGCGCCGGTGGAGGGTCCACGTAGTCCTTTCGTCCCTGTCCTCCTCCACTCACTTCTTTAGACATTTCTTTCATTTTTTTCTTGAGAAATCAGAGACAAAATCCTCAGTTTGTGTCGTTTCTCTGTGTACCTGAATGCACACTCTGAGCTCAGTGCTTTTAAAATGGTATTAGGATAGGGGAAATGGTGCATCTATTAATAGGTTTAATGGCACTATAAGTCCTCAAACTATTATTTAAATTTTAAATTAATCTCTAAACTTAAATCATTCTAATCAAATCCATAAAGCATCATATGTATCAATCAAATTCTTCTATCACTATATTTGTTAATTTAAAAAACAAATATCAAATCAAATATGACATGAAACATATTTAAAACATGTCAAAATGTTAAGAGTTTATTTTGAACAAATATTATTTTGTACTTTCCTCATATTAATAAGAAAAATGTAAACTAAATTTGAAATCATATAAATAATTTAAATCAGACTTATTAAATAAATAATCATCTTAAATTTTAGAATAAATTACATGTTTAGTACATAAACTATTAGTTTTGATATGTTTTAATACATAATATTTAGTTTTTATTTCGTTTGTGTCTCGTCGTTAAAAATTTAACGGGTGATTTGCACACATTTTTATGGGTAAATTGCATCGCATCATTCATCACTTAACTATCTTCTCACTCCTATTTTGGTTACTAAAGTTTAATTTGAAAAGCTAGTTAAATTAATTTTTTTTAAACTTTACTATCAAAATAGGAATGAAAAGCTAGTTGAGTGATGAATGATATGATTTACCCATAAAATGCAACGACGTTAGCTTTAAATATGTTAGTTTTTAACATCTATGTACTAAAACAAAATAAAAGTTAAACGTCAAATATAATTTTTTAAAAAAAATAAAAGTTTAAGTACTAAAACAGACTAAAACTGATGATTTGAGTATTAAACATGCAATTTATCCTAAATTTTATTTAAAACTTCTAATTCAAAATAATTCATATGATAACTATACATGTATTTATAACTTATTCATATCTTTATTTTTTGAACATTGGGTTGTGGATAATAGCTTTCTTTCACAAGAAAAAAATTTAAAGAAAGAAAGCTATGGCCGAAGATATTAACCAACCCTAAACGTACGTACAAAATGAACCTCACTGCAAGCCTTTCCAACCATATTAAAATAGAATTCACATCATCATCTTTATTCCTTGAAATTTTCTTTTTCAAATTATTAAAAACTCAGTTTGATTGATATTATTATTAGAACAATATAAAATTATAAATCCACTGTATAATGCATGTTGATGGAAAACAGTTGCAGCCGATATCATTACAAATTCTTAAGAGTCAATCATATGAATTTCCTTGTTATTTCCATAGATTAATATACACCTATTTTATTTGATTAAATAATAATTTATAGACCGATCATGATTATCATAAAATAATTTAATTAAGATCGAAGCAAGCTAATTATAGTCCGATACTTGATCATAAGCAAATTTTGGCTTGACTTTGATTCAAATGAAATTTGAGTCAAATTCTTCGATTAGTCCCTAAACTATGCATAAACCGTCAAATTAAGAAATCAAGGCTTCTATAGTGGCTTTCTTTGCTGTTCTACAGAGAGGGCAACAATCGAGAAAAGCCTCGCAATCTTTGCATGAACAAAGATGTCTGCAAGGAAGGAACAAAACACACGAGCTTCGAGAATTGCAACATTTACACACCATTGATGCCTTCTTCTTCGTTTCGACGAGTCCTCTGTTGTTGTTCTCTTCCTCTGTTCCTCCACAGCAAGACTCTGCATCGCCGTCGAAACGACACCCGGCTTGGTCTTGTTGTTGTTGTAATTGTTCGAGCGTGTTGTTCAAAGAAACGACGATCGCTTCGTTCTCTTGCGCCACTCTTCGCCATGCTTGATTCTCCGTCTCCAGTTTGTTCAAGAGATTTTGAAGCTCCATTGTTCTGTTTGCTGCTCTCGCGAGCTCTGCTTCCTTTTGGCTGAATAAAGGAGTTGCCTTTGATTCTAGCTTTTCCGCCATTAACAAAACTTGCTGCTTTCTCTGTTCTTGCAGTAACAATCTCAGTCTCTCATTCTGGGGGAAAAAAATCAAAACTCCAATCATAAATATGGTAAACGAGGGAAAATGGGCAATAGCTTCGAGCTATTAAGACATACGCTCAAATTCTAACCTGGGATTTGATAAACTGATCAATGGATTCATCATTTTCTTCAAAACAAAAACTCTGATTCCCCGGTTGCTGAATCTGAAGCTGATGCTGCTGTTGTAGTTGTTGATTGCCGAAACAGAATTGATTAAACCCACCATTACCATTACCATTACCATGACCATTACCATCAAGGGAACAACACAATGGAAACCCGATATTATCCGAATATAACTGAGCTTGTATGGCCATTTTCTTCAATCAACAAAGAACCCCCCCCCCCAGAAATCTCTTTCCTTTCGACACAGAGAGAGAAAACAAGACGAAAGTGGAGGGTGATGGGTTATATTTATAAGGGTGAGATGAGAGTTATGAACATGTAAACATTATATAATATTAATTCCTGGCTTAATTTTCTGTCTAATTAAACAACTACGTACACATGCAGATTTTGTGACTAAACTATCGGGTCAGAGATTTCAGAGGGCATCTGTTTTGCTTGCCTTTGAATCAAAATTATACATTAAAAAAAGCAATTTCTAAAGTGGATCTAGTTTATCTAATCTGATGAATTAAAAATAAAATAAAAACTTGAATCGGTCAAATATTTTTATTTATTTATTTATTTATAGAATTGGATTCTTATCACAACTCTCCCTTATTTATTTATTTATAGAATTTTATAACAGTTTAATCTCATAATCGCCAACATTTATTTTGAATTTTCTTAATTCAGTGTCATGGGGATCTCGTTTTTTTATCTATCTTTTCTGTCATTCACATTGCACCTTTATTAAGCACTCTTAATATACATAGTTTAATCTAATTAAGAAAATATTTGAGTATTTAATTAGTTTGGTCACAATCAATGGTTGATCTGGTTAAATAATGTATAATCTTTTTAAGCGGACACATTCAAAATCAATTTGTTTCATCCATAATCTCAAGATTTAAATCTCTTAAAATATTTAATATTTTATTAGACTAATTTATATTTATTTATTGTTATTAACAAGTAACAATACAAAATTAAAAGAATTGTAAAATCTTAATTAATCGTAAATATTGACCGTTCAAGCATCTAATTCTAAATTAATTTATTCTCCCTATTATTTATCAATGAATTGTTTTTTTTTATAGAATCCAATATTTAGATTTGGGTTGGCTTCTGATTTTTCGTCCATTAATGCTGTTCGCTAAAGTTAAACAATAATTTTATCCATATCTTCTAAAGGTGTAACGTTGTCCTGGGTCCTTGTACGTTTCAGGCTTTTGAAAATTACTCCCTTGATTAGTTCTAGGAATTTAATCTCTGTCTAATTTAAAAATTAAACTACAATCGATAACGTCGTTAATTATTTTTCTAAAATTTAAATATGTTATCGATTGAATTTTGATTTTTAAACTTGTAGATAAAATTAAAGTCTATATATGTAATCAAACTAACAGATAAAAGAGTGTGACCGAATCACATGATTGAGTTGGATTTGAACTTGAAATATTAGAGTATCACATGTTTAATTTTAATGGGAAATCATTAATAAAAAATAGTGATATCAATTAAATTTCAATTATTGAATCAAATGAGTAGAGGGTCTAGATTTTGAAAGTCCAAAGAGTTGAAGGAGTAGGGCAGGGTTAAACCTCTTCTAAATGGTGAAATTATGAGTTTCTGGAATTGTCAAACAAAGGCAGGGAAGGTGATTTTTACGACAGGACAAATAGTCTCGAAGAATTATTTGTGAAAACGGAAATCAATTATCGAAGGCGTGTGAATTGAACATTGTTTCGAACCATAACTCTCGTACTCCACATGGACAAACCTTTTCATTTTTTTTAATCAGGAAGAAACATATAATTTTATGGTAGTGGGCAAACATAAATTTGTCATGCCCATGTCCATCCCTCTTTGGCAATGTACCATCAACAGTCTCCACGCCCCCAACTAATTGATATGAACTCTGGTAGCTATGTTGTACGATAATCTAATATAAGGTTAATAAAGACGCTATCGGCTAAATCTTAATTATAAGTGTGTATTTTGCCATCTTAAATACGTTTTATTTACGAGTGACAATCACTTATTGTGAAAGGATTTGTGGTTTTTTAAGACATACTATTATTTTTACATATGAAATAAAGGGGGGCAAACGGCTAAATCTTTAGTTTGAAAGCAATGTTTCCGTTTGGATTGGAGTAGGAAGCAGAGGGGAAACTTAAAGGCGAGGTGAGAGAAAAAATGGCACATATGGAGGTGGGGATCGGCACTAGGAACTTGTGAAATGTGTGAAGTTTAGTTTTTTTGGTTCATAGATTATTTTTTTTTTGGCACATGTTAATGTTAAATCACTCTTGTGAGTTAATGTTCGAACTCGTGATCTTTATAAATAACGACAATTCTTTTAATTTTTGAGATGATTTGGTTCGTGATGAGTCGTAGATTAAAATGACATAAATCCAGTCGATCCCATGAACCCTATTCTTATTCGAATCAACCCTGCTGGCTCGGCTCATCCGTATAGTGTATTCTTCGGTGCACGCCATGCGAAATTGTGAAGACACCAAAAGGGAATTCAATCTGGTATTTGGTGCTAACAAATGCAGCTTCCCAACTACTTCTCTTTGCTTTAGGCAAAGTGGTTTAGTGATATTGACCCAATTCCAATAATGGAGGGCCGTCCCCACTTCAGAGCTTGTGTTCGAGTGGTGCATGTCGAGAGCCAATGGCTAAAGCTATCAGTCTAGGCATGAACAGAGGCGGAATTTTACGAGTGCGAGATAAACTTCTAAAATTTTAACAACAATCAAGTTTATAAAACTACAGAGGTGAATGTAAAATTTCAATTAAAAGTCTATAAAAAATTTTAAAATATATAACAATTTAAATTTTTAAGAATAACCGGTGTATTCGACCCCTCGATCCTGTCACCGAGCCTATTCTCCGTGTTTTCAATTTGATAACGACGTAACCCTCTTTTTCTTAGTTTCTTGTGTAGGAAACACGGTTTTGCTTTGTTTTCTTTTTCAAGTGAAATAACTTGGAAAGAGGGGAATAGAAATCATGAAAACCCATGTTTTGTTCGGTCCAAACTCGTTCTGGATAATTGGAATTAATAAATATTTTATACATAATGTAAATATTAGTTATAAATTTTGACGTGTTTTTTGAATTAAAATTGCATTGAGCTTTCATTTTCTTGGAAGCACATGAATTGCGCCAATAACGTTTTCAAAAGGGCAAGTGGGCTTGGTTCTTTCTACGTGCCTTAAGTAGGCAACTAGGCATGCATTGACAAATGACAGAATCCACCCTGAATTAGGGGATTCTATTCACTTTCATCATTTGTTAAAACGTTAAATAATAGGCGAATCTGATTAACAAGCCTTGTTTTCTTTGGTTTAATTCAAATTCCATTTTGAGTTCCCAATCTAAATCTTCAAATCCATTCTAACTGCTGACCAAACTCAAATTTCAACATATAAGAGTAAAGTACACAAATGGTCCCCGACTATAGAATATTGTTTTACCAAGTCCCTTAACTATTAAAACTTATAAAATGATTCCTCGGCTATAAGGAATTACTTTATTGAGTCATTCGGCTATTAAAAGTTATAAAATGGTCGCTCGACTACTTATTATATCTAAACTCATTCTTTTCAGTTAAAAATTAACGGTCATCTGAGTTGGACGTTAAAATACTGGTTAAGATATGATAGTCATTTGAGATTATAAAACATATTTTATCATACTTCAATTAATAGATTAATGCATAGCTCAGTCTGTCATCAAATTTTTAACGAAAAATGATTAGTTTAAAACATAATAAATAATTGAATGATTATTTTGTAACTTTTAACCGTGAATGGACTCAACAAAACAATTTCTTAGGGATAGAAGGTGCATTGTTTAGTTGGAGCACGGAGGCTGCACCTGCACCGTAGCCCAGGTCCCATCCTCGTGTGACCCACCGCTACCTTTAACATTTATTAAAGTCGTATCTTGTGAGCCAGCTTTCCCCAATTGCCCACAATTTCAGACTTCAAATGGCATATTCATAATCACGACCGCTCCCATTGTTCAAATGTCACAGGCAATCACGATTTAGGCATGAAACGAAATGAAGGTCTACTCATGGTGTGACATAAATCCACAATAAACCTAGGAGATGATGGCCCATCGAATTTGTCGATTTACTGCAGTATGCATCTTGGGACCATAAACACACATGCAAGCAGTGTTAAATGTGACATATGTTTATGTGATGAAAATTACCGATCAAATTGGAGATGGCATATTGGTCCCGGATGTGTAGATGAGTATTAATGCGTAACGTCTCCATTCTCGTTATTCATGCATGTCTACATAAATATTTAAATTCATGCATGTACCGATAATACCAAAGTTCATGAAATTATAAATATAGTGATGACAAATATCGTCACGAGACCTTTGATTGGTATTATTTTTAAATTTGATTCGAGAATTATTATTATCAAATCGGATTTAAAGATTATCTATTATTATTTACCTTTAAAAAGTTAATAATTTATCTTTGTCTGTATAAGACAAGCAGAGGTTTGATTTCTAACGTAATTGAAAACCAGCAAATGGAAGCAATAATCAACTTGTTGAAAACGAATTGGAAAAACCAATATTCAATGAAGCATGATCACAAACCAGTACACTTATACCCTTTTAGACTTGTTTCCCACTTTTTGATGATAAGTTTTCAACTCAAAGATAAAAACTAATTCCACCCAGATATATACGATACTGTATATACGATGATCACTCTTTTCTTAGGGTTTTGAGCCATGCATTCTGCAACTCATGAAGACAATAAATAAAATACTGCTCGTAATAATTTAAAACTAGGGTTCCCATGCTCGATCTCTTGAAATATTGATCATCATCATCGTCACGTTACAGAAGAAAGAAACAAGGGAAAGAGTTGCAATATGTCAGGCTTCTCTCTTCCGACACACGCAACTCATATCTACTGTAGACTGTAGTGTTTTCTTTAATGGCGATGTCTCAGTTTGGGCAGTCTGCCTCTGCCCACTCATCCTCTTTCAATGCTCTTCACGAAACCTATACATAAGCATGTATGTATATATATATCGTGCTGCTTTGACTGACTGTGCATAAATATATATATTTTTAGTCTGTCCGTTTATGATGCTTTATTCTAGGATATAAATAGCTGATATTTACATATGCCATCTTTATGGAGAATCTGTAGGTTTAGTCCTTCATGATATTAAAATTTAAGATTAGTCCATTATATTAAAATTTAAGATTGAATCCTTGTGTTTTGATTTGATATAATTTAATCTAATTTGTTAATAAATATTAGATTTAAATCTCACCAACAATCTCATTGATGACATGAACGTACCACTTTCAAACCACATTCGTTGGTGTAGAAAACTTGAACCAAAGCCTTGTCATCTTTTGTTTGAATGCCCACATTAATGGGTCATAACGTCTCTTCGAAGCAAGCAAGATCTGCTT